TTGTGATTCATGTACTAGAACACAAGATCCCTCTGCATCTCAGAATTTTGCAGTCATTTTCTGTTTAAGCAATGTTCTGCCTTTTCTTTTGTTCTTTTGCCTGTCTCTATTAAATGTTGTGACGTGTAGTCAAGACAACTGTCATAAGAATTTTAACAGTAACATAATATTGAATAATGTACCTGATAAAGGAGATATAGTGCATATTTTTAAAAAATACTTTAGAAATACTAGCACATCCTTTTTTTGCAATAAAGTTTTTCTAACTATCGAAGTTTAATGAATGCAATGGCTAATTTTATCAGAAGAAAAGTTGGATTTGATTGTAATGACATAATGAAGAGTAGGTTTGAGGTTCTGTAAAGAAAATCTAGGATTTAAGTTCAATATTAAGGAATTGTACTAGCAGAGTAATAACCTTTCAATTACCCTTAGTGCTATTGGCAAGACCAGAGAGGGAGAGAAATATTTGGGCTGTTGTCATGACACCAAGTGTGTCCTCAGAGTTGTATGTGAACTGCGAACTTGTATAAGCTTGCTTATAACTTCAATTTGATTTTTGAGCATTTCTGTTTAAAAATAACCAGCATCACGTCTTTATGTTTTAAAATGCAATAAAGTTTATGGCTAAAATACAAAACTTTTAAGTAATTAGGGGTAAACGTTATGTGAGAAGATACAATAAGATCAGCCTCTACTATCATTGTATGCCTAGCTTGCTTGAAGATTCTTTAGTGGAAGGTTGAAATTTGAAACGAGGGCTTCTATAACCGAATAGTTGGAGTAGTTGAATAGTTGGATTTGACAAAGTAGACACAGAAAGGATGTTTTGTTGAGTGGGGCAATCAAGAATGAGAGCAGATAGAGTTAATCTGGACAAATGTGAGGTGATGTATTTTGGAAGGTCAAGTACAGGTGGAAATTATACGGAAGGTTTTTTGTTTGGTTCCTTGGATGGAGGTGGGGGGGAGGTGTAGGGGCAGGTGTAGGCGATTGTAGGGAAAGGTACCGGGGGCAGTGGGACTAGTGGGGAGTGTGGAGCAGACGAGGGAGTCGCGGAGAGAGCGGCTCCTACGGAAGGCAGATAGGGGTGAGGAGGGAAATATATCCTTGGTTGTGGGGTCAGAATGCAGATGGCGGAAGTGGCGGAGAACAGTACGTTGAATCTGGAGGTTAGTGAGGTAATACGTGAGGACAAGGGGGATTCTTCTTTGTTTTTATTGTGGAGAGGAGCTGTGAGGGTAGATGTGCGGGAAATGCAAGAGATGCGTTTGAAAGCATTCATGACCACTGAAGGGGGGAGGTTGCGGTCCTTGAAATAAGAGGACATCTGGGATGTTCGGGAGTGGAACGCCCCATCTTGGGAGCAGACGTGGTGGAGGCGGAGGAATTGGGAGTAGGGGTTCGCATTCTTGCAAGAAGATGGGTGAGAGGAGGCGTAGTCCAGGTAGCTGTGGGAGTTGGTGGGCTTGAAATAGATATCAGTTTTGAGGTGGTCACCAGAGTTGGAGACAGAGAGGTCCAGGAAGGAGAGAGAGGTATCAGAGATGGCCCAGGTGAACTTGAGGTTGGGGTGAAAGGTGTTAGTAAAGTTGATGAACTGTTCAAGCTCCTCATGGGAGCATGAGGCAGCACCGATACAGTCATCGAGAAAGAGGTGGGGGATAGTGCCAGTGTGGCTGCGGAAGAGGGACTGTTGCACATATCCTACGAAGCGGCAGCCATAGCTTGGGCCCATGCGTGTTCACTTGGCTACCCCCTTAGTCTGTAGGAAGTGGGAGGAGTTGAAGGAGAAGTTGTTAAAGGTAAGGACAAGTTCGGTTAAGTGGATGAGGGTGTCGGTGGAAGAGGACTGATTGGGCCTGCGGGAGAGGAAGAAGCGGAGGGGTTTTGGGCCATCTGTGTGGGGAATGCAAGTGTATAGTGATTGGATGTCCATAGTGAAGGTGAGGTGTTGGGGGCCAGGGAATTGGAAGTCTTGGAGGAGGTAGAGGGCATGTGTAGTGTCCCGAATGTAGGTTGGGAATTCCTGGACCAGGGGGAGAAAATTGAGTCAAGGTAAGCAGAGATAAGTTCAGTGGGGCAGGAGCAGGCAGAGACAATGGGTTGGCCGGGGCAGTCGGGTTTGTGCATTTTGAGAAGGAGATAGAAACAGGTGGTGCAGGGTTGGGGAACGATGAGGTTGGAGGGTGTGGGCGGGAGGTCACCTGAGGTGATATGGTTATGGATGGTCTGGGAGATGATGGCCTGGTGGTCAGGGGTGGGGTCATGATCGAGGGGGCAGTAGGAGGAGGTGTCTGGCCTCGACGATGTAAAGGTCAGTTTTCACTAGAACGCAGGAAGTTGAGAGGCAATCTGATAGACGCTCATGAATGGCATGGATAGAGTGGAAAGTATGAGGCTTTTTCGTAGGGTGGAGGGGTCAATTACTAGGGGACACAGGTTCAAAGTGCGAGGGGTAAGTTCAAAAGAAACATGCAAGGCAGGTTTTTTACACAAAGGTTGGTGAGTGCCTGGAACGCATTGCCAGAGGAGGTAGTGGAAGCAGACACAATAGCAACATTCAAAAACCACCTGGGAAAATACATGAATAGAAAGGGAATAGAGGAATTTGGATCTTGTAAATGAAGACAGTTTTAACGTGGAAGGGCAAAATATGGCAGTACAGGCTTGGAGGGCTGAAGGGCCTGTTCCTGTGCTGTATTGTTCTTTGTTCTTCTTCTTTGTTTGTCATAGTTTTAGGATAAGGTATAGCAGATTTAAAACGGAGATGAGGAGAAATTACTCTTGTCAAAGGATCATGAATCTGTGAAATTCATTACCTCAGAGTGTGGTGGACACCAGGATACTAAATGAATTTAAGGAGGATAATGACAGATTTTTATTAGTAATGTGTTGAAGGTTTAGGGAGACCTGGCAGAAAAGTAGAGACAGGGCTGAGATGAGATCAGCCATGATCGTATTGAATGGCGGAGCAGGTTCAAGAGACTGAATTGCCTACTCCTGTCCTTAGTTCTTAGCATTGCTTCACACTACATCAACTGATAAAATCAACATTGCTATCTCTCAGCTACAAAGAAAACAAACCTCTGACCAGGAAAAAGCAGCCAGTGGCATGTATTTGTGCACTTTGCAAGTAAAACTTCCAACAAAATATTGAAGATGAAGAGGTCACATTGCAGTAAAAGCTTCCTCAGAAGAATTTTGGAGGGCGCTTCAAAGAGAAACTACTTACAGCTCAAATGTTGGCTAACCAATTAACCCATCCATCCACATAGGAATCCCAGACTGCAAACTCCAAATTTGGACTTTTGGACTCCCATCTTAAATGCAAGAGCATTGGTAAACTGGTTTCCCTCAGTTGTTTTGTATTTAAATTGTTGCTAACCCATGGCTACTTCCATCTAGAAGAACAAGGGCAGCAGATGCATGGAGACTCCACCACCTGAAAATTCCCCTCCAAGCCACTCACCATCCTGACTAGAAATATATTGTTATTCTTTCAGTGTCACTGGGCTAAAATTCTGGAACTTTCTCCTGAACGACATTGTGGGTCTACCTACAGTAAATGGACTGCAGTGATTCAAGAAGACAGCTCACCCCATGTTCTCAGGTGCAACTAATGAAGAGCAATAAATGTGATCCAACCAGAGATGCCCACATCCCATGAATGAATAAAATAAAATCTTTGTATTTTTTGTATTTGCGGTTGTGTTGAGAGATTTCCCTCCTCCTCTAAGAATGAACACAACTTCTAGTTTAGCTTTACCACAGTGTTGTTGTGGTCCTTGCATGGTCTAGTCCACATACAGAGGGAATGTGGAAAGATAGTCACAACAAAAACAAAAGTTACTGGTAAAGCTCAGCAGGTCTGGCAGCATCTATGAAGAAAAAAATGAGAGTTAATGTTTTGGATCCGGTGACCTTTCCTCGGAACTATTACAGAACTGTCTAAGATAGTCACAAGTTTGCTAAGGTAAAATGAGAAAAACTCGCTAGATCTCGTGGCAGAAATCCCTCCAAAAAAAATGGTGCCTCTGAGACATAAAAAAAAACGCAAGATTCAGCGCAAAGAGAAGAACCAAAGAGAATATGTTCTAATTGGAAGACTATATAAATGGTATTTCTCCTGCGTCTATGCTGGGACTTTAGCTTTTCATTATACGTACCGATGACTTGAATGGAAAGCAGTACTTAGAACTTTTAAAGTTTACATTAGATGGCAAAATATGATGTGTAGATGAGAGCAAGTCGTGAAGAGCTAAGTGAATGAACAAATCCTGGAGACATATATCAAAGCCTGAGATGAATTGGTCTGCATGTGTGAAAAATAATTCACTGTGTTTTCTAAATGATGAGATGAATCATGTAGGAGCAAATGGTTTTATTTAGCTACTTATAGAACTTACCAACATGTAGCAGAAAGATACAAACAGTAATCAAACAGCCTAACAGAGTGTTGACCCTCATCTCAAGTAGTTTGGAATACAAAAATTGAATAAGTGATCCTTCAATTGTACACAGCTTTGGTCAAATGTCATCTAGAGGACTGCATTCAGTTTTTGGCACTGAATCTGAGAACAGATATAATGACCTAGCAGATTCATCAGAATGTTAGCAGGAATAAGATGAGTTATATCATCTGGCAATAATTTGCATACACTTGCAACTTCCCTGATTTCAGGAAGTTGAAGAGTATTCAAAATGATTAAATAGATCAAGGCAGGGTTGGCACAGGTGTTGATTTTTCTAGTGAAAATCTAGAAGTAAAGAAATAACTTTAAAATTGGAATTAGAGTACTTAGGTGCAAAATGATGTTCTAAATTTTATCATACGAGGGATAGAACAGAATTAAGGGCTGAATAGCCTACTTCTGTTCTTGTTGGTTGACATTATTTGTATTTGAAAAAGCTTCAGCTGTCCATAGCTCGAAAGACCATTTTTCAATATTTTGATACAACTGGAAAAATTCTTTGTGCTTGCTGTTTTTTTTAAAAAGGAAATATGGAAAAGTGATGATCTCCTGCAGAAGACAGAGACTGATCTTCTGCAGTCTCAAGAAAATCTCAAATTGAAGGTAGAAGAGCTAGAAGCTTTGGATAACATAGCCAAGGACCTGAAAGCAGGAATACAAGAATTACAGAATCACAAGAAACAGATTGATAAAGAAAATGCAGCACTGAGAACAGAGATCCAGCAACTGAACCAGGAGCTACAGGATATTCAGCAACAGTTCAGAAAGAAAGGTGGGCATTTTCTTTAAAAATGATATAGAATTTGCACAGAATACCATAGATTACTGTCCCGATAATGGTGGCTGTAGTTTTCTATATATAAACTTTAAGTTCACTATTATCTGCACCATTGGCATTAAAAGGTTATTGGATCAATTTTAAATTCCACAAGAGTTGTCATCAGACAGCTAGTCTGCCTTCAATAGGAAACATAGTTGGACAAGATGAATAACGTGCTATCTATCTGTTAATGCCTTGTTTTCTCTTCAGTTGCGAAAGTTAAAATTTTCCCCTTGATTTTGTTATAAAGTGGAGGTTGACCTCCTCTGATAACTATAAGTGAAATACCCAGCGAGGCTCACCTTGCCCTACGATCTGTGAAAAGAATTGTGAAAAGTGGTATAACCTGCCTATCTCCCACAATCTATTGTAAGGGAGTAGGTAAATGGAGTAAACTCCTGACACTGTCTATAATCAACAAGTAACACATTATTTATCTAACTCTAACAGTGAACAAATTAACTGAACTATTAAAAAAAACAAATGATTCCCCTCTAACTACTAACTATTCCTGAATAAAACAAAATTCTAATGGTATGCTGTTCCAATAAATAGAAGTCTATTTTTATAAATCAAAATTTTAAAAAAAAAGGAACTTAGTCTCTCAAAATTACAGCGAGGTTATATCTTCTGGAACGGTCTGTGTCTTCTCTGTTGATCTTCTGTCAGGAATGCCTTCTCCGTCAAATTCTTTTGTCAGGAATATTAACTAAGAGTGCTGTGGTACATTTATTTAGATGGTGTTTTCTCTAAGAGCTGAGGGAGCTGATCTCTTAGCAGAGGGCAGTTCGCTCTCTGCTGATTTTGCAACTGTCCCTGTCTTTTATACCCTTGATGACATATCAATTTCTTACAATAGAATTGGTCTTATGTTGTCAAAACCATCAGATTTAAATTTAAGACAACAAGGTGCAGAGCTGGATGAACACAGCAGGCCAAGCAGCGTCATAGGAGCAGAAAGGCTGATGTTTCGGGCCTAGACCCTTCTTCAGATTTTTCTGATGA